CTCATTTAGGTTTTCATGTTTTGGTCTGTTTTCTAGTTTGATGCTTATATTTTCTTTGTACTCTCTATTTTTGTTTGTTTCTTTGAGTTCTTCTATACTGTATCGTTCATGTTTCGAGCCTCTTTCCTTTTTGATGTTTAAAATTCTAGCCGTTATCCTACTTTCGACCAGGTAGTGATCAGAATCCGCATTTGCCCCTCTTCTGGTACGGACGTTTATTATGCGAAATAATATTAGGCCGTAAATGTAAATATTTCTTGGCTACCATTACCCCAGCGGCTACCATTCCTCCCTTTCTCCTAACACCAAAAAAGATTTTAGCGAATAAAACTGAATTCCAAGTTAAGTTATAGACATGTAATAGAAAATCTACAAGTAAGTAGGAGCCAATTGTGCAATAATACACAGTTAAGTGCAACGATAGTTTAAAAAATTATGTTTTTTCTACTCTGTGGGCTTTTTGTTATAATAGACGACTCATTTCTGTAATACTAATACATAATTATCTCTAAAGAGTCATAAGACCAGTCTGTCGACTCTGAATGTTGTAACGATAATATTTTGCCTACCTTAGGGTAAGATTATGGGGGTAAAAAATTGGGGACAGAAACTAAGGGGGTTGAGATAGGGCAAGCAAAATAATCGATACTTGTGCGTACGGCACTCAGGGGTTAATTGGAGAGCTGGGTCGTGGATAAATTGAATCAAAGGGGTCAGATTGGAGTAACTACAAAGTGAAACAAAGGGGTACTTACATAAAATCTCCTGGAACAAATGAACAAAATATGACAACAAGAAATACCTTTAGCTATTTCAATTAGGACGTTGCTTCGAGAAGACTTTCTGCTTGAAGAAAGAAAGGTTCTTCTTTCTAAAATCAAGAATACACACAAGGGTTAGGAGACTTTTCTAAACTAAAGACAAAAATAAATAAATCAGAGAAATAAATTAAACTATTTATTTTTGTCTCAAACAAACAGTTACCAAAATACAGATGGCACAAAAAATATACTATATTAATAGTTGCAAAAACAAAATTACAAAAAAAACTTACATGTCTATCTGTTTACAATGGAGATTGCTACAAAATCTTTCAAAATGGTTACTAGGTTATTTATCACTGTGGCCAAAATAGATTATTGAAATTAAGGATATCCTTATTAATGAAAATATCTGTTTCTACAAGCAAATCAAAAATTGTCACAACAAAAACAAATTAAAGCTAGCTGTCAACACAACATTTTATAACAGAACAATTATGACATCTTTTAGCCACGCCCTATATATATAATTTTAATTATTATAGATTCTTAAATTTTAAACGAAAGCAATTATTGTTACTTAGAAAAAAATGTCTATTTACTTTGAAAATTATACATTAAATGTTACCTTTTTTCACATATTTTACACTTAAACTTCTGGAAACTTTAGTAACATCTCTGGGATAAAAGCTGCGTGGAAAATTTTTGAACAGGAACAAAGGAACACTGTCTCCATAGTCTGCAACGACGATCAGAGACGACAAACGAGGTTGGAAACAAAACTCATCGGCACATTGTGGCACACCCTATGTACTGCTTTAAATATTTACCATATTCTGGTATACTGCACAAATCCTCCAAATATTCAGTGGTTACTCTATTCTAATCTGCCATATACAGAAAGTAGTTTCCACTAGTTACCGGTCTTGAACACTTAAACCAATAAACAAAATTGCCGGCTTTGCTGATTAAAAATGCCGCACGTCCTTTCAGCGTGAATGCCTTCCAAAACCTAAAGATTGTAACCTGAACCTAAAGATTTAGGACGGAAAGGGGAAATCACTTCCCTTTTCGTCCTCTTCCGATGCCCGTTCGTGCCACCGAACTTGACTCCCTTTCGTTTTTTTTTGAACCTATTATCTATCCTTCCATTGTTGGATATAGGTCTCCCACAGTTCTCTCCATCTTTCCCTATCTTGAGCGGCTTCTCTGATATGTATTGTTTCCTGATGTCATTTTCCCACCTCATCTGTGGTCTGCCTCTTGATCTCTTTGCATTGTATGGACGCCACTTTCGATGGCATTGTTCCATCGTCCGTCTTGGAGACGTTCATTGTGTCCAGCCCATTTCCATTTCAGTTTTGCTGCTTGTTCTATCGCGTCTACTGTCTTTGTTCTGGTTCTGATCCACTGGTTACGTTTTCTATCTTTAAGTGATATACCCAACATTTGTCTCTCCATCGCTCTTTGTGCCTTCCTTATTCTATTTAAATTGGCCTGTGTAAAGTCCATGTCCGTGCTCCGTAGGTGAGCACCGGTATGATGCAGGAGTTATATACCTTGCTTCGTAAGTATAGAGGGATTGTTTGATTTTTTAGAACGTAAGAAAGTTTGCCGGACGCTGCCCATCCCATTCTTACTCGTCTCGATATTTCGGCTGTTTGATTTTCTCTGTTAGCTCTGATTACTTGTCCTAGATAGATATACTCATTTACCTGTACTATTTTTTCTGTTTGTATTTTTATTGCCTCTTGGTCTTCCGTGTTTGTCATTACTTTTGTTCTCTTGAAGTTAATTTTTAGGCCTTTTTGCAGTGATTTTTTATGAAGTTCATTCAGCATTAATTCCAGTTCTTGTCGTTCCGATGAGATCAGGAGTATATCATCCGCATATCTAAGGTGATTTAGGTATTTTCCGTTAAAACATATTTCCCTGTTTTCCCAATCTGTTGATTTTATTTTGTCTTCGAGGGTCAAGGTAAACAGTTTAGGTGAAATTATATCGCCTTGTCGGACTCCTTCGTTACGACTTACCAATCATGAAAAATCACCTTGGATCCACACCCGGCGTTATTGCGTTTTAGGAAAATGAATACAAGACTTGCAATATTTTTTCTAGGAACGTGAACTTAAAACGCCATATATTGATTGTTTTAAAATTCCTTTGCAAAAGATAAACGAAAAAATTCCTCTCGACAGGGTGTACTACAGAATTTTATACATAAATATTTTATAGTTAAAACAAATGTAAAATCGCTACAATGTCTGTAGTTCTCTTTCATTCCCAGCTTCTTTTTCTATTGGAAATGTCACTGATGTTAGGGCAGGTTTACAAATATTAAGGTAGATTTACAACTTAACACAACATAACAAATTACAAAGCAAAACAATGAATGAAAAACAATGAATTTTTGTATGTGGGCGGAAGAAATATTAACTCGAAACTCGAATAACATTTAACTTAGTCTCTAAGAGACAATTATCATTATTAATCCAATAAACAAAAATCCAGAACAGGTGCTCGTTATCGGTAAGTTAAATATTACTTACCTTGATGAGCTATTAAATTCAACTAGTTTTTACACTGTAGACATTGAAGTGTAGTAATGACAGTACGCAACCCTAGTGGACTCCTCTCTATATTTTGATATCTCGGGTGTTCTGGTTGTCAACTCTTACCTTGGCAGTTTGATTCCAATATAGATTAGATATAATTTCATATCATGACTGTCAATATTTTGCTTTTTAATATATCTACAAGCTTTTTATGTTGAACCTTACCAAATTTCTTTTCTAAATCTACAAAACATAAGTACACGTCCTGATTCATATCCATGCATCTCTGGGCCAGCACATTCAACCCGAACAAAGTATCTCTTGTGCCCGTACCATTTCTAAAGCCAAATTGTGTGTCACTAATTTCATATTCAAGAGTTTTAACAATTATCTTCTTCTTCAAGTTCCGCTCCTATCGGAGAGTGGAAATCATTCTGACAATTTAACAATTATGCTGTGTATTATATCCAAAAATGTGTCTCATTAAGAGTCACACAACCAAGTGTGTGACTCATTAAAGATATTGTTCTGTGATCTGAGCAAAATATTGCACTTGACTTTTTGGGTATCGCCACAAAGGTATCAATGGGCACATTATCTGGTCTAGCAGCTTTGTCCTTTTTTGTGTTTTTAATGGCATAGATGACTTCTTCCCATAATATTGGTGGTCTGATATCCTCTGTGGTCTTTAATGATAGTTCTTTCTTTTTTCATTAAATAGCTTTTGGATGTAATTGGTCCAGTGACACACAATCTTTTCTTCATATCAGTAATAATATCTTCTTTACTATTTTTAAGGATATTAGTTTTTGTGCGTTTTTTAGAACCTGTCATTTATTTGATTTTTTCTATGTAAATTAGAGCTATCATACTTTTTATCCAGATCTTCTATATTCTTGCATCTGTCGAAGAACTACCTCTCTTTACCTCTCGAATTTTCTTTTTAATGCTTTTCTAAATTTCTTTGTATTTACTTAGATTTTTTTGCTTTGTGTTTTCTTCGTTTTTCCATAACTTAAAAAATTTCTAAAATCCACAAGAAAAAAACAATTCCTGTAGCTGGCTGTATACCACGTATCACAAAAACGTATCAGTTTCCAGCTGTTCTCCGTGTGTAGAGGTTTACTCTCCGGCTCTGGAACTCACTTTAGCCATGTATGTTACCTAAAGTCATATTTAATTTAATACTGAACATCACAGTTTTTTAACAACATGATGTATAATTTTTTACAACTATATGTAATTTAAAGGGTTTTTACCCATGTATTTTGGTGGCTCAGGCACTTTTAACCTAGCAATTTTAAAATTTAAACCCTGATGATGGACTGTTTAGTCCGAAAACGTGTGTTTTTTTGATGTAGCCCTTTTAAGGGTTTTTAAATAAATATCCCCACCTACGAAGACTAACCTTTTTTTTTTAATTTCTACTGTCATCCAAGGTTTTGTTTTTCCACAAATAGTATAAGGGTTTCTTTTCCAACTGGCACAAGAGCATGTTTAATGTTTTTCTATTTTTGGCCAATAGTTAGAGTTCTTGGAGCAAAGGTACTTTACATTTTTTAGTTTCACTCTTATCGACAAAACAACCAGATTGTGATAAGAGAATATGCCTAACGTTTAAATACACAAACACAATAACTAAAACGTAGAAATTAATTTTATTAATAACATTGAAATGCAGCGTTTAATATGATATATAAGGAGCATGTATATAAAGATCTAACATATATTTAAAACTGTAATAATTTCTGGGATTTTCTTTTATTGTGAACTGAGAATTTATGTCTAAATACTTCACAGCGTTGGGTTGTACTTCTGGCCAAATTAAATTTTGAAGTTCTTCATCTGAAACTGGAGTGGGGTTCCTAAAAATAAGCAACACAAATCAGTCTATACTAAGTTGAAGAATTATTAAGTATTTAGAGTAAAAGCTAATACATTAGGGTAAAGTGTGCAAATGGCGGTTATCTAAGAAGAAATTTTAATATAAAAAATGAAAAACTCTGTGAATCAAATTTAAGGTGTCAACCGATTACTTGGGGTTTTAACTTATTTCAGACACATTCAATTTAAAAAATCAAAAGTTTTTGTCTTTGACAGAGACAAATTTTTGCCGATTTCAGCGCTTTATGTCGTTTGCAATATCTCATTCAAAATTTAACGTACTGTATCTCTATTTATAAATCTTTTAAATTTGTTTTAAGTGTCTCGCTTTAAAATTAAAATACTTACTGATATTTGATGAAATTAGTCCACCACTTTAGTATCGGTTTTCGCAGATTTTCATTAGTTGTGTAGTAAGGAAATCCATCCCATAAATACCATAAATCGCGCATGAGGAACTCCTAAAAAAATAACAACATCGATAATAATCTCAATAATTTACATAGAAAATATTATACAGCCTTGGAACAATATGGAAGCAAGTACATATCTTTGAAACGAACAAGACTATATTCATCAAACATTGCGTTGCATGTACATTCATACAAAATTACTCTAATGCCCTAATTTTTGTTACTACTCTACTTCCGGTTTCACTAAAAATTCTTTCAACCTATTTAATTTGAATGGGTCACCCCGTATATTTTGGCAGGTTTTAAATAAAATTGTTATTTTTCGCTTTGATATACCAAGTTTGGTAAAACAATTTGTTAAAACGAGAATCAAATCACGTAAGAGTTGAAAGTTGAGGTGCGTTTTTCTTCTTCTTCAAGTTCCACTCCTATCGGAGATTGGAAATCATTCTGGCAATTATAATTTTATTGGTTACTCGCCTGAATAGTTCAATTGAACTGCATCCAAACCATTCACGGAGATTGCGTAGCCACGAGATTTTACGTCTTCCTACGCTTCTTCTACCTTTGATTTTACCCTGCATTATATTCCTTAGTAGTTCGTACTTTTCACCTCTCCTGATGTGCCAAGTATTCCAATTTCCTGATTTTTATGGAATTTAAAACTTGGCATTGTTTTCTTAGTTGTTCGAGAACTTGTTCGTTTGTTATTGCGATCCATCACTGATATTTCAAAATACGTCGGTAACATCACATTTTCTAAGTTTTTAATGTTGGATTTTTTAAGTGTCCCAAGCTTCAACTCCATACAAAAGGGTAGAGAAATATAACCTAGAATCATTCTTATCCGGAGCGATATATTGATATCGCGATTACAAAAAAGTTTTCTCATTCTATTAAAAGTTGACTCATGCTCCAAGGTATTTGTACGAAGATATTTATTCAATTTCTGTATGGTGCGTTCTTGGAACGACTTTATTCAAAGATATATTAGTAGTGAGCCCATTATAGTATATACTATTTTAAACATAAATGAGATATCCCGTTATGTTATTGATATCTGTTTAATCACAAATTAGTCCAATAATTTGTAATCTCACTAAAAACTTGTGAAACATAAAAACAATAACAATAAAACAGTTAGTATGGTACGGCCATGTACAGAGAATGCAGATGACAAGATTCCAAAACAGATTTTGACGTGAACACCACAAGAGAGAAGGAAACGAGGAAGACCGAGAAGAAGCTGAGAGAGGGAATTGAAAAAGAACTAGAGGAAAGGAAATCCCTCCAGGCCTATGGTTGAATAGTCGGAAGACATCGGAGAACGCTGTAAACCGATAGTAGTAGTAGTAGTAGTAATAAATTGGAGCTGGAAGTTCACATAATAGAACAAGTGATGGAGTTTTAAATATCTAGGTATTACATTATCTAGCTACGGAAAGCTCGAAACCGAAGTGGAAGATCAAGTGAATAGAGCAAATAGAGCCGCAGACTGCCTAAATGAAACAATATGGAGAAATAAAAATATCGAGAAAGAAACGAAAGGCAGAATTTACAAAAAAGTCATCAGAACAATAATGACATATGCGGCAGAAACAAGACCTGACACAGAGAGTACAAAAAGGATGTTAGAAACAGCAGAGATAAAAACACTTAAGAAAAATTGATGGTAAGACACTATGGGACAGAGCTAGAAGTACAGATATACGACATAGATGCAAGGTGGAGAACATCAAAAACTGGGTAAGAAATAGAAGAGTAGAATGGAACAATCATATAAGCCGAATGACAACAAATAGAGTAGTGAAGACGGCAAGAGACGGTTCCCAATAGGAAGACGATCAGTAGGAAGACAACTTACTGGAGGCACATTAAAAAACAGACAGAGTCATGTCTATATAAAATGAAGAAGAAGAAGAACAACAACTATAATGTAATAATTCAGTAGCTGTCAATAAAACTATATTTTACTACACTTCAACATTTTATTTTAACATCGTCGATCGAGAAGAATCGGACACAGGGAATTAAAAACAATTCGAAGTTATAATTACTTTCGAATTTGTCCAATATCTGCTGAAACAAAATATTACCATATTAGTGGTAGTATTTTTTTTCTATCGATTTCTTCTTTTATTATTATAATAATTAGGTATAACTTCTTTTGAATAAGATTATCACTTGGTGTATCGCAAAGTGCTCTGAATTCAGGTCCTAAACTTCTTCCAGATCTATACAATAAAGATTTAATTCTAATTGTAAATATTAATTAAATCTGTGGGTCTATTAAAATTATTTAATGGTTTAAACTTACCTATATCAGTGCTGCCATCTGGTAACCACGAAAGCTCATATAGGTAAACAGGTACATATCGGGATGCACATTCAGCTTGCCGGAAGGTTGATCGTGCAAAAACTTCGTCAGTAGTGTACTAAAAATGAGTAAATCATAGATTACGTGAAGATAGTGAACTCCCTTGAATAACCCTTATATGCCTAAGCGAGTACCTCAGGAACACCAGTATTCTGTAATATTATTTAATTACACAAGTTGGCAACAGCGCATCTAGATATGCTAGAACAAGCTCTTCACTTATTTTTAGGTTACGCTGAGACCTGTTGCTTGTTGGTTGTTTGTTACGACGAAAAACGTGCACTGGGGTTTCGCCAGTACTCCACTTAAGCATATACGTTCCAAATTTATAATATTTAATTGTTGAGTTTTTTATCCATTTTGTGTAATTGGTTAGTCCATGACACAATGTTTTGCTTTTTGTTAACAGGTTAACCATAAAATTTTAAATTACAGAGAAAGAAGTGGACATATTAAAATGTAGTGAAAACTGATCTCTTGACAAAAAAAAAAGAAAAATACAATGGAATAAACATAATGGTAGAACGGCACAACATAAGGTAGTAATAATACCTCGGGATAACTGGTTAATACAATTTCGAAACGCAAAATATCGCAATTAACCGCGGCCTATTTCAAGGAGACTCGCTGAGTATATTGTGGTTCTGTCTAGCGATGAACCCACTATCCCAGCTATTGAACTCCACTGACTCAGGTTTTAGCATTAAAAACAACAATACTGCTAAATGCTAAAAACTAGAGAAACTTTTTCAAATGATATCAGTTTGCACTTTGGGTTAGACAAATGTCGTGTACTAAATATAGCCAAGAGAAAGGTTCAGCCCGGAGGATTCGACATGCAAAATGGCCGCAACATTGAGGCTCTGAGCGAAAATGTATAAATATCTAGGAGTAAAGCAAGCGTGGAAAATTGACCATAAACAAATCTATCTCTACTCCGCTCACATCTTAATAGTAAAAATTTGTTTTTGCGTTTATCTACTCATTTGGGATTATTAAGTGGACTAAAACGGATATAGAAACTCTTCAGCGAAAACCATCATCAAAGTGCAGTAGAAAGAACGGCATTACTGCGGTATTTAGGAGGACGACGACTTATGGATGGATATAAGCGAGCAATTAGAAAAACAGATTACTAATTTAAGAACTTATTTTTAGGTACAGGCAGAGACATCTACTCTTCATCACGCGATTTTTGCAGTAGATGACACAACACCGATCAAACTGAAGGAACAAGAAATGCGCATAAACCATCCTACTAAGAACGAAAAAATGAGCATCTGAATAGGTGAACCTCTGCACGGGCGACATCCGAATAAAGTCAGTCAAGACTATGTCGACAATATAGCGTCGAACTAATGGTTGAAATCAGGAAAGATGTTCCCTAAAACAAAAGGTTCATTACTTGCCATTCAGGCTCAGGTTATACCAACCAAAAATTACCTGAAATATATTATCAAAGACCCTCAGGTCCAAAACGACAAATGCCGATATGGATGTCAAGCCCAAGAAACTATCCAACATCTTACCGGGGGCTGCCAGGCATTTGCTGCAACGGAATATAAGAAACGGAATATAAGGCATGATTCAGTAGGGAAGATCCTCCATCAAGAGATAGCTTTTAAACTGGTACTTCTACAAATAAACCATCTCCCATATTATCACTACGTTCCTGAGAGTATGTTTGAGAATAACAACTACAAGCTATACTGGGATCGCACTGTACTCACAAACCAAACTGTAGCACATAATAGACCAGACCGCGTGCTAGATAATAAACTAATAAAACAAACAACACTAATCGATGTGGCGAACCAAGAAAAATTTGCGTGTTAAGTACAATGAAAAGATCGCCAAGTACAGAGATCTGGAAATACAAATAAGAGACAATGAGAATGGCAAGTACCTAGACGAGACCTATTATTCTTTCTACCACTGGAGTCATTCCGAAGAACCTCCTAGAGAACATAAAAAAGCTGGGTCTAAATAACCATCTATATAAGATCATGTAGAAAGCTGTGCTACTTTTGACGTCCAGATGCGTGCGAAAATTTTTGGGAGATATACTGACGTACCAAGTCACCTAGGACTCGATAACATGGAAAGAGTCCCACCAGAGCTCATTCCTTTTGATACCGTAGGGATCTGGGATAAGTGAATTTTCCCCTTAGAAGGAGTATGAGCCGTATGGCTGAATCTGGTATAATACCTCGGGATAAACATCGGCAAAAGGGCGAAGAAATATTGGGCAAGCTAAAGAGCGCTTCTATGACTCTTTAGGATATATATCATAATATTATAATAGATAAATATATATATATATAAGATTGAACAGGCACTTAACATATTAAAAACATGAATTTTTTTTCTTTATGAGAGATCTCCAAGTCGAAGGTAACCTTATGTCGTCATTTCTTTTATTGAGACAATTTGGTCTTTTTTTCAATTTCTATGGCTTCTCGGATAATTCTTGGTATATAAAAGCGGATGGGGCTATGGTTCTGGAGTTTTCAAAATCAATTTTGTGACCTGTATAAAGATGGTGTTGATCTAGAGCTGAAATTGAGTCGCAATTGCGAACAGAAATGGAATGTTCAAAAATCCTATTTTGGATTCTATTAGATATTCTTATACGATTTGTTTGGCCTATATAAGATCAGGGGCAGTCAGCACAAGGATTTTATAAACTCCCTGTTGTTCATTTGGATTGATCGAACAAGAGATGAAAGTTTCTGTTAAGGAGCAAATATTGTTTTTATTCCTCTTGATTTTAGAATTTTATCGATTTTGTCAGTGACACCTTTAAATGTAAGAAAGAAAAGCTTTCGTATGACGAGTTTTTTTATTGAGATTGAGTGGGAGATTGATGTCTGTGGATGCTCTTATTGATGTGATTTTCACGGTAAACTGTTTTGAATGGTGCCTTGTATTAAACTAAAAAACTCAGCTGGTCTACTTGCATCATTGCGTATTGATCTGGAGACAAGCGTAATTAATGACTGAATTAATTTGTGAAGGGGGATGAGAGTTTGCATGTAAGTACCGATTGGTATGGGTGGGTTTTCGATCAATGGAGTGATAGAAACCTTGTAATTGGTTTTTCTTTATAATAACCTGTTTCTGGAGGCTCGGGAGACTAAGACCTCGGAAACTCTGAAGGAAACATCGATCATGATGTCGAAAGCTAGGCGCAATGATAATCGACGCGGTTCAACCCGGAAGACTGGTGAGTTTAATAATAATCCCTGTAATAGTATTAATCTTAGCTCTAGGTTTAATTGTACTAACCGCGGAAACCTTTTGGAATATATATTTACACACAGTTCATGTTGTCTGTTTTACCTTTATTAATGCATTTCTGTCTTCTGTAAAGGAAGAATAGTTATATCTTCTTTTAAAACCTCCACCAACTGTCTCTTTGTCCTCTTCCGCTACGTTAAGGTAATCTGATACAAGATTTGTTAGATTTTTGTCAAGAAATTCAGCCCTTTCTTTAACTGTTTCTTTGCTAGTTGCTACAAATAAAAATGTATAAGTTAATTTCCAAAAATAAAGGTTAGGTTTAATATATTATGTACAATACACTATTTTATTTGTACGTGGAATTTGTACTTAGAATCTAATTCCCAAAGAAGTCACACAGAGGCGACGGGCGAACTTTTGACAAAAAATTGTGTTTTTACCTGAAGTAATGGAAGGATTAAATTTTACTACAGAAAATTTGGACACAGCGTCGTAACGCAGGTAGGTAATTAAGTAGGCTGCTAAAATAAAGCAGGTAGTTAAGTTTTCCAATATTAATTGTCACTTGCCTCTAAATTTATACGAAAATTGCAGCTTATTTTAAATCGAGTAAAGAGCCCTTCCACGAAACAGTTAATCGCACAGATAATAGAATATCTATGATCAGAGCCATGCAGTGGCGTAAACAAATTAAATTATTTGAAATCGCACTAATTAAAAAATTATTACTCACTTAAATTATAAATGGAGTTTGATTGTAAACAGATTGTTTTATAAATACCAAACTTTTTATTTGTTATAATACCATCTCTAATAATTGATACTCTGTAATTTGGTAAAAGTTCTAATTTTTAGTATCAGTTACCTTAAAACCGTATTTATAAAGTCATTATTAATGACTCCTTAACGACTCGTTTAGGACATACAAAAAATTGAAAAAAATTATTTTCGAGAACTTTTAGTCAATGGATTTCAAACAAGTTCGTAATTTATTCTCATTATTCTGTCGAGTCCCAACAAGAAAGTTGCTACCACGAGTATTAGAACTATTTTGTAGACTGAAGATGGTTAAGTATAGTACAAGTAAACAGATCAGATTGACACCAGAATTCAAAGGAATAGTTTACAATGTATTTAAATATATGCAAATACTATTTCCCGAAGATAATCGAACCAATATTAAACAACGTGTGAGTGAAGCTATTGAAGTATCTTTACGCACAGTAGAAAGGATTATTCAACAACCGAGTATGTTAACAAACGCAGAGTCAAATCATCATCATCATGATCAATTAGCCTATATTTGTCCCCCCGCTGAACGTAGGAACTCCCGTTAAAATTTTCTACCTATTTCTATCTTGAGCTTCCTGCATCCAGTTGGTGGTGATTCGCTTGATATCATCCATCCATCTAGTCGGTGGTTCCGTCCTCTGCTTCGATATGCAATCTTGCCTTGGTCGCTATTCCAGAAAGTCCTTTCTGGTCCATCTATCATCCGTTATTCTGGCAAATGTCCGGCCCCAAGCCCATTTAGCCATGGCTAAATGGGCTTGGGCCAGAGTCAAATAGTACACTAAAATTTCTATAGAAAATATCACACTAAGAGTGCAGTACGGGTAATGATACGGCAATGCTTTTCTTATGGCGAATAAACGTGCAGGGTTGCGGTTTTCTCCAGACTGTTGATTGCATCATTGTATCACAGTACCGGCTTGGGTAAAATGCACCTGCCGTGCAGTACGAAATAAAAATATTTTAATATCATGTATACGTAATACAGGTAGAATAAAAAGGCATTGCATGAGTTATTGACAACGAAAACTATGAATTTTAGCATATAAAACGTCAACATGAGATATACAATTGAATCAATATTCATAAGAGTTAACATTTGAATACCTCTTTACAAGAACAACATACAATAACTGAAGTTTTTAAATGTTTTACATAAAATAGAAAAAAACCTACATAATTATCTAGGAAAGAATTTGGAAACTTGGAAATGATATTATTTATAGATATTTATATATAATATTCAAATTTCCAATTCTTTCATAGAAATTAGATTTTTTCTATTGTATATCTTCTTCTTACCGTGCCTTATCTTTAAGGACGTTGGCCATTACATTTGCCCATTTAATCTTATTTGTAGCAGCCCTAAATAGTTCTATGGAGGTTATGATTCGTCCATTGCCGTAGGTTTTTTAAGCCAAGAGTTGCGTCTTCTTCCTGGTCCTCTCTTGCTATGGACTTTGCCTTCGATTATAAGTTGGAGCAGTTGATACTTTTGATTTCTTATGATGTGACCAAAATATGTGTTTTCCGTTTTTTTATTTATAAGCATAAGCTCTCTTTCCTTATTCATCCTCCGCAAGACTTCCGCATTTGTCGTATGGCTCATGTAGGATATTCTGAGCATTTTACGGTAACACCAGAGTTCGAATGCTTGGATTCTTTTTTGTGTTGCTTCTGTCATTGTCCAGGGTTCAACACCATAGAGCAAGGTAGAGAAAACATAGCACTTAAGTATTCTAGTTCTCAATGAGATGCCCAGCTGGCGGTTGCATAGAACTTTTTGCATTTTGTAAAACATTGTACGTGCCTTTTCCAGGCGTATTCTTATCTCTAGTGAGTAGTCCCAAGTTTCATCAAGATTACTTCCAAGGTACGTTGTTTTTGTTACTCTTTCCAGACTGTTCCGTCGACATTGACCTTCACCCTTCTGTTTGGTGCTGTGTGAATGACCACCGTTTTTAGTCTTCTTTGTATTCACTTTCCTCAACAGAGTGGAACGTTGAAATCGCCAAAAAAAAACATAAAAAACGAGAGTGTGTCAATCAAATTCTAGAATATTCACATATGACGAGGGTGTAAGAAGTATTCTACGGAGAAATGTTCATTGTGAATTTTCATAAAAAAATTTGCCCGTCATTCTTAAAGCATATACATAACTTCATACAAGGTAATGAGAAATATACAGCCGTTATCTCTTTCTACTTATACAGACTTCCTGAAAGATATTGGATTTGTTTATAAGAAACGTGGCCGAAAAGCTCCATTGTGAAGCGAGAGGATATATATTATTGGCGCCATAATTATTAACGGAGTATACGACGTTTGCGAAAAGACCAATGGCAATATCATATATTTGGACGAATCGTGGGTTGAATGTTGTGGACCAATCTATAAATTGGCGATACATACCAAAAAAACATCGTGAAGCTTTTCTTAAAGGTTAAAGTACTGGCTTAAATGCACCTACTTAAACGAGATCCACGATTATGTTTTATTGCATGAAGGTTTTTCAGGAGGTTTTTCCTCCTGGCACAGAGCGTGTTTTTCTGACAAAGAAAATTGATGGCGACTATCACGATGAAATGGATGCCGTATACTATTATATTGGAGTCGTGGTTTAAGGAGACGTTAATATCAAATCTACCAACTTAATGGTCCGCAGGAATGTCATTGTAAATGGACAATAGCATCGTACCATTCACGTAACAGGGAGATTCCCTAACAATTCCTGAATAAAGCTGCAATCAAGGAATGGCTAGTGGAAAAAGACATTTTTTTCGAGGAGTGTTATTTAAAATCCGAGCTATTAGAAGCAGCGCGTGCTGTTAAAGATTATTACGATAAGTGTCATCTTGATGAGTATGCTTCACAACATAATGTTTATATTTTAAGGCTTCCTTCATATCACTGCGAGTTGAATCCTATAGTAATGGTGTGGAACCAAGTTAAGTGATATGTAGGTATTCATAATACCACTTTTAAAAACGACGAGGTACGCCAGTTAATTCTTAACCTTATACCTGCTCATCTGGTCAAGTGTGGGCAGGAAAACCATTATTCCATATGGAATAACACAAGTTTTCGCTGAAAACTACCAGGTTGCTATGCCAAGGAACTAGGTAAACTTATGTTGTGTGTAAAAAATGCGAGACTGCAATATGTTTTAACAAGGACAAAAACTGCACTTCAGATTTCCACAAAAAAAAATTTCATAGTAGGTGTTAAAATTTCGCAGTGATTCAAGTGCGCAACTTATTTTTTTAATAACATCGCCGGGATTAAAAAATATGAAAAGCTTCTTCGATATTCCCGTTCCTGAAAATTTTTTGCATATTTACAAAAGAAAAAGTTTTCTTGGATATTGGGCTGGGTGCACGGAAATCGAGTTACCGGAGATTCCACCCGGTATATTTATAGCTATCAAGAAATGTAATTTAAAATACATTTGTTCGTTTAATAAAGTATACAGTTTTAATAATAAAATTCTCGCTAAAAACTTAAGGTTTTTTTATTCAAATTCATGCTTCTTATTTGGCTACTTGAAGGCAATTATTTTATCAATATATTATTTTATAATAAATAACAGAGCCTGGCGTAGAGATCTGGGTACGGTTCTGTGACTACCACTTGGACCTGTTTGTATCGCCAAGCACAAGGCGTGAAATCCGGCAATTGTGCATTCGTATATTAGCCGTACTGCAGTCTCGGTGTGATATTTTCTTTAGCTACAACAATTGCTAAAAGGAAAGCAACCATGACAAACTTGAGGAAATATGACAAACAGTTCATTAGAAATACCATTAATCGTTTTCATTAGACTGAATGTTGTCGTGTATCAATGAAGCTTTTGCAGTAAATGTTTGAAGAGGTGTACGAGTCGAATAAAAGTGTGAGTTATTTCTACAAAAAGATTTGGGATTTAAATGGAAGAAAACGAAAGATAATCGATATTTATCAAATGAACGGAATGATATTCGTGTTCTACGCAATAAATATTATGAGACGTAAATATAATAGTGAGAAAATAATAAAGCGGAAAGCAAGGTTTAGATATTTGGGAATATATATAACTAGTAACGGAGATGTTGAATAAGAAGTAGACAATAAAACTTAAAAGCAAATAAAGCGGCGGGGTCTCTTAATGACACAATCTGGAAGAACAAACACCTAAGACAACATACAAAAACAAGAATCTATAAAGCAGCAATTAGACCTATATTAACATACACGGCGGAGACAAAACCTGACATATCTAAAACGAGACGACTACTACAAACAACAGAGATGAAAATACTCCGACAAATATTAGAGAAAAGTTTGTTGGATAGGGAGAGAAGCGTAAACATAAGAAGAGCATGCAATATAGAAAACATAAATGGATGTGTGACAAAACGGAAACGGAAGTAGAACGAACATATTAATAGAATGAGGATAGGATAGTACGAGTAGCACGAGATAAGTCACCAAGTGGACGAAGAAGTATTGGCAGACCAAGAAACAGATGGTACGATAATTTAATCAATTTAGGAGGCTAATATTAAAGAATAAACAGGCTTCAAAGCCTACATACAAGAAGGAAGAAGAAGATTACTTTTCATTTCAATTTTTTACCTATAAAAGAATATTCTGTTTTTATCTTTTTAAAAGAAGTACTAGTGTGGTTTTGATTATGCGTATATATTTCCTTTAATAAAACATTCTTTTATGCATATCTTCTATATAAAATAGTTTCGATGTTTCATATTACTAGTCCCACACGGCTCACTTATTTTATTTAGCAACTTCTAATGTCCTTCAACATCTTGTTTTTTATTAGTTTTAAATGAGACATTAATAACGTTAATTATTTAACTTACGTAAAGGACAAATTAGAAAAATATACTTACTTGCTAAGAACAACAGAGATTCTTCAGAATTGAAACCGATCAGGAGTGGTACTAAATTGAAACGACCATCAAGTACAGCACCATGCATAGGTTCAGTAACAAAAGCATCATCGTCGAAGTCATTCTCCAAAACTGGTTTAAAAGTAATGCCATCCATAAATCCAAAGCTTTCTCCAGATTTAAACTATTTCCAAATAAGTTGTTTATATTAGAAATGAAATTTTTAAATTTTCCATTAAACCATTAAATTTAGGGTCATTAGCAACATTCATTACTTTACAATAATTATGGTTAATGTGTGTTATGTTGTACTTAATTACCGAATTCGGCCATTGACCGAAATTTATACCCACAACGCGTTGTGAATTTCGTTTATTTCTCACATCGCGTTTCGGGTACATTTGACGTACACAGAACGCGTTGTGGATATAATGCGAAGATCCACAATGCGCAACTACGAAAACCGTCGGATACACACGATGATTTTTCGCGTTATGGGCAATACAAATACCCACAAAGCCAAATTTCTAATTTTATTCCAAAAATATGAATCTGACCACATACCTTTAGTGGGAGTCATGGATGTGAGACTAGAGACAATAAAGAAAAAGTCTAGACCTAACTACGACGTGACAGCCCTGCAACATCCAGAAGTTAAAAAGCAAGTGGGGGAATATATTAACAACCAAGTTAAACAACTAAAAGAAGAAAATAACATCCAACAAAAAATCAATCAATTCGAAGAAATAATTAAGAAAACTAAACAAGATCTGCTAAAACCAAACAAAGAAACAAAGAAGAAATCTTGGATGACTCCAGAAATCCTTCATTTAATGGAACGCAGAAGGTTAATTAAAGAAAATAAAGATGAGTATAAAAAAATGCAGGCTTACATCAGAAGAAAAATAAGAGAAGCTAAAGAAAAAGAAGCTGTAGAGAAATGTAAAGAAATAGAAAGGCTACAAGCCAATCATGACAATTTTAATGTACACAAAAAGGTAAAAGAAATAACGGGTACTTTTAAAAAGCGAACACAAATGAAACTCATAGACACCAATGGAAAATTAATCATTGACACCCAAGTGATGAAAGACAGATGGAGAATATATTTGGAGACACTTTTTCAAGACCAAAGAACGGATTATAGGCATCTATTTTCAGAGAGGATGACGGACCCGGACATACTTAAATCCGAGGTAGAAGAAGCAATAAAACGGATGAAAAGCAGGAAAGCTGTAGGGCCTGATATTATCCTATATTAGGGCCTATATTAGGGCCTAAGAAGGAATAATTTGGATCATGGCTGTCTTCAATAAAATATACAATACAGAAATCATCCCTGAAAAATGGCTAGAATCAGAATTCATAGCAATACCTAAAACACAGGGGGCTTAAAAGTGCGAAGAATATCGAACAATCAGCCTAATGAGCCACATGTTGAAACTGTTTCTTAGAGTCATCTATGGAAGAATTTATAAGAAGTGCAAGGAACAAATAATATCGGACAGACAGTTCGGCTTCATTAACGCTGTGGGTACCAGAGAGGCACTTTTCGGAGTACAGGTACTGATTCAAATATGCAGGGACGTTAACTGAGACGTATACACGTGCTTGATCGACTATGAAAAGGCATTTGACAGAGTTCAACATCAAAAGATGATAAACATTTTAAAAGAGGCAGACCTGGATGACAAATACCTCAGAATAATTTCAGAACTCTACTGGAATCAGACCGCATACATGAAAAATTAACGGAGAAGAAACAGATCCCATAAAAATACTACGTGCAGTTAGACAGGGATGTATCCTATCGCCGTTGATATTTAATATGTACTCAGAGAAAATTTTTAACGAGGCTCTTTACGGAATAGACGAAGGCATCGTTCTAAATGGTGAAAGAGTAAACAATGTTAGATATGCCGACGACACCATGTTGATAGCAGATAGTTTAGAGGGACTTCAGAGGCTTATGGACAAAATAAACGAGTACAGTCAACAGTACGGACTAAACATTAATACTCACAAAACAAAACAAATGATTATCAGCAAGGAGAATATAAATAGGGCTCATCTATACATTAATGGGACGCAGATAGAGGGAGTAAAAACAGTATTGTTACCTGAGAACTAATATTAACGAACAGTGGAGCAATTTACAGGAAATAAAGTGCCGCATAGGAAAGGCAAGAACGGTGTTTAACAAAATGAGTGCCATCTTCAAAAGTCACAACATATCACTTGATACAAAAATAAGACATTTGAGATGCTATGTTTTCTCTGTGTTGTTGTACGGGGCGGAGGCATGGACGCTTACAGACACCACTATTAAAAAACTTGAAGCATTTGAGATGTGGCTTTATAGAAGAATGCTGAGAATATCATGGACAGCAAGGATCACGAACAAGGAAGTTCTAGGAAAAATGAAGAAGGAACCAGAGATTGTGTTTTCGATCAAACGCATAAAATTGCAATATCTAGGAATGAGAAATCAGCACTGTTACTCCTGCTACAGTCTATATTGCAAGGTAAGTAAGCGAGGACCTGGTAGAAGGAGAATATCATGGCTGCGGAATTTAAGAACATGGTTTAAGAAAACCGCAACGGAGCTGTTTCGAGCCGCAGCGAGCAAGGTTATGATTGCCAATATGATTTCCAACATCCGAAACGAATAGGAACCAGAAGAAGAAGAAGAATTTCAAAAATGGATATAAAATTACGTTAATAAAAATGATGACTATAAACAGATGTTAATGATGTTAAATGATGTAAATAATAATAGTACAAATACCCACATAACGAAACTTTAAATTTTATTTAAAAAATGCAGATAAAAATAAGTTTCGCCTTCTAAAAGTAGCGTAGACCCAATACTTGACTCCACGTAAAGTTTATTCAAACGAACCTCAAATTCCTTTTTAAGGATTTCGATTCATTCACTCATTGTATTGGAAATTATCAGAAACTACACTGAATAAAACTCGTGTTACCGGTAAGATTCGATTTCTGTATTTTCAGTTGTGGAATTTATATTGGCCATAAAGCGAAATTCGTCGTGTGTTTCTAAAGGCCTTCGTAGTTTTGTACTGTGGGTCATATTAATTCAGCCAGTGTAGTGTTTTTGTGGGTGAAGAAGCATCTCGGAGTAGGAGGTTATTCCTATCCTTAGATCCTAGCATCTTCGCCATCGAAGAGAGCTCTACCGACTTTTTAATCTGCTGGTAATAAAATTTTTATTGTTCTTTGAAAAATTAGAAAATTTTTGGACCACATACATGTCAATCTTTGGGGCATGTTATCTAAGACAATATTATTAAAGAATATAAAGAATATAGAGGCTTCAAACTCATCACTCAAAATTTTTTATAATTATATGTATATAACATTAATTATTTTTGCGCGGCATGTAATAATTCATCTGCTGATAAGCCAGTCCGTTGACGAAAGTTTCGGAGCAATGAGTATGTCTTCCTACCAATTCCTATTTTTTCGTAGATCTTTCCGCTGAGTATCAAGTGCATTATCCTCTATCTGCTTCCTCCCATTATATGCTCCAAATATTCGATTTTTTTCTTTTTAAGCATCTTTATTAAGTTACCTTCACCTTGACCTACTCTGTTCAACACTTCTCTGTTTGAAATATGTTGAACCCATGATATTCTGAGCATTCTACGATATAACCACATCTTGAAAGCTTCTAATTTGTTCATCATGTGAACCTTCATAATCCAGGTTTCACATTCGTACAGTAATACAAGATACACATAACATTTTAGGAACTTAATTCTCAGCTGTAAGTTCAGTTGAGAATTGCTCAGAGTAGATTTAAGTTTCATAAATGGTTCTCTTGCAATTTCTATATGAGTTTTAATTTCTTCATCCGGATTTAGTGTCTCGTTTATTTAACATCCTAGGTATTTAAAATATTTACAATTAAAATATAAAGACGGTACTAGATTTTTGTTTTAATACAGAGCGGCGGCAACCGCTTATACGTATTTCGAATTCGATTTCACCAGGAAGAAATCGTTCGATTTCTCTTTTTATTTTTTATTTACAATTAACTTTTGTTATCGGTTCATTATTGACAATTAGTTGTATAGCGCCGAGGTCTTGTTTATTAACCACAAGTAACTTTGCCTTTGTTGTAATTATGATTAGTCCGTTATTAGAGCATTCTCTAGTAACTCGATCTATAAGAAATTGAAGATCTTCGATACTTTCAGCCATGATCGCGGTGTCATCTGCATCTCTGATGTTGTTAATAGTTTCTCCCCGATTCGAACTCCACATTGCCCTTCCAAGGCTTCGCTAAAAATTATTTCTGAGTAAACGTTAAACAAAGTTGGCGACAAGACACAACCCTGTCTAACACCACTTTGAATACAAATTTTGTCTGTTTCTTTGCTTTCTGTCAGAACCAAAGCTTATTGATTCCAATATAAATGTTGTAAAAGTGTCAGATCTTTATCATCTGTTCCAATCATTTCTAGATATTCAAACAGCCTACCATGTTGAACCCTATCAAACGCCTTCTCAACATCTATAAAACAGACGTTAATTGGTTTCTGTACTTCCCATGATCCCATGAAGTAGTGTTAGCATTGACAACAAAGCTTCCCTTGTTTCCAATCCTTCTCTGAAACCGAATTGTTTATTTCTCATTGTGTCTTCACATTTCTGCTTGATTCTATTAAGACTTATCCCAAGAAGTAGCTTGAGAGAGAGAGAGACTTATGAGAGTAATTAGTCTAAAGTATTTACACGATATTGTATTAGGTTTTTTTGGAAGTGGGATAAATGTAGACTTCAACTATATTTGTGGCAGTGTTCCAGTTTCGTATGTGTGGTTATAAATGTTTGTTAGTTCTGAGACATTGTCGTCGTCTAGAAGTTTGAGCCAGTCTGATGATATTTGGTCAGCACCTGGAGATTTCCCATTTTGGCTTTGTTTAATGGCTTTCTCTACTTCTGCTTTTAAAATACTAGGAATATAGTAAAATACTAGAAATTCTTCCTTTTTTTTTCGTTTAAGTCGAGAATAATTTTACCTTTGGAGTTTCTCATAAAGTGAGCAGTTCTTTTTCTCTGAGTGTAGGCGATTTTTTAAAATTTTTTTGTGTATATGAAACTCGTCATGTTTTCTTTGTAGTTCTTTCATCTCAAGACATCTCTGTTCCATCCAGGCCTCTTTTGCTCGCTTAACCTCGTATCTTATTTGTCGATATATTTCTCTATATCGAGTCTCATCTTTATTTTTACAGTTTCTTCTTTGCTGATTAAGGTCTAGTATGTTATCAGTTATCCAATTCTTTTTCTTTTCTAGTTCTTTTTTGATTTCAAAACTTCGTATGCTATGGTAACCATGGCGGAATTCTTTATATCTATATTTTGTCCGATATTCTCTTGTTCAGATCTTTCTAGCTGTTTTTTAATTTCGTAATTTATCTTATTTTTGAACTCATTTAGTTTGAATCCAGCACATAGCAGATTATGATTAGTTGCTGCGTCTGCACTTGGGAATGTTTTTGCAGATGTGAATAGCAGAATGATAGCAATAGTGAACGAAAATTAGTACTTACCTTATTCTGAAGATCCATTATATCTGAATAGGAGGTTTGTTGCAGCAGCTCTAATAAATCACTTGATCTGCTTGATGTAAATGAACTATTTAACGCTTTGCCGAATTCAAACGCCACGTTTCTGTCATTTGATGGGTACATGGATCCAGATAGTGGCGATCCACTTTGTTGGATAATTCCACTAAATAAGCCTGAAAGTAGATTTTAATGACTAATATTATATACTTAAAGTTATCCATATCTATTTATAATTTCCATATGCATGCATATTTATAAAAAAAATATTAATCCGTATTATTTATACTGTCCAATGGAATAACATTCTAAGAAGTAAATTGTTTAATTACAGTACCTACCTTTCGCTGCTCTACTCAAGAAATGAAAACCAGCAGACATACTTCCAGCACTTTCTCCGCCTACTGTGACTTGTTTAGGATCCCCTCCAAATTTATGAATGTGTTCATGTACCCACTTAAGAGCCAACAGTTGGTCCTTAAGTCCCAAATTACCGGGAATATTTTCATCAAGTGTTGTTAAAAATCCTAAAAGTAAAACATGAGTGAAAATATTTTTATATAAAAAAATTTAAAGATTTCGAATGGTATTTTTAAAAGATTTTTAGAACTTTTATTATATTTGTCATTTTTCTTAAAGGTGCCCACGAGAAATTGCAAAAGTGTGCAGGTACGTAGCTCAGATCAGAGACCTGAAGCAAGTAAGAGTACAGAGGATAAGAGAAGAAAAAGCCTGAGTAACATTCGCTGACTTAAAAAACTAACCAAACCAGATCCTGCGATATATATTAGGATCTGATGTGATTTGACAAACAAGATTTTTTACGAAAATATATATATTTTAATTGTCGAATTCAATGCAATGATTAAAATTTATTTTTTTAATGTTAAAGTTGATTTATATTTCACTATCGAATTTATAGTAAGAAAATATAGTGCTTACCAAATGCTCCTAATCGGTAGTTGATTGTTACCACTACTATATCATAATCAATTAGCAATTTTGGGTTGTAAAATAATATTGAACCCGTGCCAGCAACAAAGGCTCCACCATGAATCCAAAAGAATACTGGTAAAGATTTATTGGAACTAGGTTTCTACAAAATAAATGTGTTTGAATAAACTTAGTATCTATATATGTTATATAATATATATATATATTATAATGAGAACAGAAATACAATAAATTAACATAGAAATATATACAACCATATATACAATGTTAATTAATAAATTTAATTAAAGACATAATTTATAAGTTATATACTAGATAATATTATTAAGAAATAATTATATGAGGGTATTTTTAAGAATTTAGCATAATAATTAAGTTTAAGAAGTTTTTTTTATTTAATTTAATATTAGATATTTTTAAGTCAACCATGTGCATATGCAACCAAACATACACTGTAGTGTCAAAGTCAAAAAGTTATTTATTTTGAAAATTTTAATTTAAAATAAAATTACATATGTAAAATAGTAAAAATATATTTCATATAAATGTTTAAGTTACATATAATAGTGTAGTTCTGATCTGGAGAGCAAAGTCAAGTAAATTGTACATAGAGAATTCTAGAAATGACAATAGGACTATTTGCATAATACATCATAGACAAAAACCATTCCATTTTATTCCAGAATGTTCAGATAGAAAAAATAGAATGATTCGAACCTTATTTATTGCTAGATTATTCTGTAACGAGGAAAAAGGATATATAGGCCTTTTAATTTGGAGCGGGAAGGGAGTTATCAGTTATCAGTCAGTTAGAGTCAGTTATGAGTTAGAAGTCAGTCAGTTAGTTAGTTAGTTACAGATTATGATTAGTTACAGTTGATTAATCAGTTAGTAAAGTGAGTCAGTAAAGTTATAATTCAAGAATTTAGTTACAAGAAGATTATTAAGTCAATTATTATTATTATTAAGTCAGTTACATGTGATTATTAATTACAAAGAAGAATTAAGAATAATTTATGAGGTTATGAAGAGATTATTAGCTAGAAGAAGGCATTGCATAAGTTAAATGAATTATTAAGTGAAATACAGTTGGAGATTAATTATTACTACAGTAATATAGTGACAGTTTGAAGTTAATTCATTGAAGTAAGCATTCAATAATACAACTACAAGATTCAGTATATTTGAAAGTACATTATATGGAAATTACAAGGATTTAAATTTATATATTTATATGGTGAGTGAAGATAATTAAGAAGGAACATATTAAAATAGTTGGATAACCAAGGCTTAGTAAGAAGAAGAAAGAAGGTACCAAATTTTGTTAATAATTTAATAATTGTAAGAATTTCAAATTTTAGATAGATTGTTTTAAATTGATATTGCTTATATTAGATAGATAGGTTTATTTCATAGTTATAATAAAGATAATTTAAAAAAGTACTTACAAACTAATTCTTTGAGAACCGCGATAAAAACCCTATACTTACATATATCATTCAAATTTACTCATAGCTCATACAGAAACAACACATCATAACAATATATATATATATATATATATATATATATATATATATATATATATATATATATATATATATATATATATATATATATATATATATATATATATATAGAAGTATATAAAAAATATGTTACGTGGGGTTATTTGGGATGTTAGCTATACTAATTAAAATACCTCAAATGCAAAACTCTTATATTAAAAAAACATGAGATTAAAAAAAAAGAGTGTTTTTGCCCAATCTCTGCTAACCGAGTAGGTGAGGTTGCGCGTATTCAAAAAAAAGTTATTTATTTCATTTGACATGACATGGAGATTTCATTCGAATTTTTAGTTGGCATTTTTTGAGGACCACAATTTATACATTTTTGTGGATAGAGTGTGCGTAATTCTTGCAGCCATTTTTGGCAGATGATGCATTTTATCCAATCTGATTTGGATGTAGTTTTAGAATAAATTTCAAAACACTCTAGGCATGATTTATCGTAGCTTTCGGACACGTTCAACTCCGTTGTCTTCTTCCGAGGTTGGAGGATATTCAATTTTTTTTCTTTTTCCTTCCAATTTATTATATTTGCGAGTTATCTCTTTATTTTTATTCTCAGTGCCTTTTTTCTTTTGCACGATTGCCAGTTTTTTATTTTTTTTAGATTTGATATAATTTTAGTCAGTGATATTCATTGCACTTATTTTTCTTTTGACTCATGATGCTGTTAAACTACATGGAATTGGTGATATTTCAGTCAAAAGTTTGTTTGGTGTTATGTCATCAGTTTTTAGAGTTGTAAACTTGGAAGTTGAAGGTTGATAGAAAATTGATTCCGGAGAAGAATGGGCCACTTGAGAAGTAGTTTTAGAAGTTGACGCAGCTGAAGAATCGGGCTGAGTAGACTGAGTCATTTAAGAAGTAATTTTAGAGGTCGAAGGTGTTGAAGAAGCGAGCGTAGTAGACAATTCTGCTGAAATTGATGAGTCTGTTGGTTCAATAGTGTTCTCATGTGTGTTTTGCCAATAGATAAGCATGCTCTGGAAAAGCATTTATGTCTAAAGGATAAATACCTGTAGCCCGGAATGCTGTAGTTGCAAGTTTAACAGTAGCAGAACCAGACCAAGCTGACTGTAAAAGTCCACCAAAGTTCTCTCTTGTAATTCTTCTAGTCCCATTTCGTCTAGTTACTAATTGCTAACAGGCGTTTTTAAAATAAGTTTTGAAAGGCTTAAATACCACTTGGTCCAAAAGCCGAAGGTAATGTGTTGTATGGCTGGGGAGACACAGAAGAATTATATCATTGTCTGAAGCAATCTGAAGCATGTCGGCGTTGCTCATGTGCGATGCATGTCCATAAGTATTTACCTGAGAGTTTACGAGGTATAAAATGGATTGTAAGCCAATCCAAAAATAAATCGTTGCTGATGTACGCACTCCCTTTCCTCATTCCAATTACATTACCAGATGCAGCACCTTTTGCATATTGAGGTTTGCCATAAACTCCTTTAAAAATGCAGTAAGAAGGTAAAAATTGCCTCTCGGCATAGCAACCTGCTAATATACTAATAGTTTCTCCTTTCTCGGCACTGGTGACAACATAAACATATTTGGTACATATTGGTTTGTTTAAAAGATCATTACTGTTTAAAATGTCAGCCAAAAGAGTAAAATAGCTCTACGTATTCCTTGAGATTTTCGAACAATTAGCTCTGGATGTCTCTTCATAAAGGAAGACAACCAAACCTTTCCAACTGTCTTTTTATCTATATTGAAAGTGTATCTTTTGTCAAAGTTCTCAGCTAGTTGGTATGCAAGTTTTCTGAGTTCTCGTTGAGTAGGAGCAAATCCAACACCTTGCAACTTTTTACACGATTCACTAATTTAAGTTCAGTATCTCTACCCAATTATGAATTTAGACCCAACGCATGGTTAGAAAAATCATTTTTTTTTCATTCTGTATCTTATTGTAGATATACACAGATGTAACAGAGTTGAAAGGAAGCATTTAAAACTTCACAAGTTACATTCCTTTACGATTTGACCTTTGTCATCTTGAACTTAATAGTATCCTTCTGAGCATCGTGTTCATATTGTAAAATCAAAGGTTTTTTTTTAAACTCTTTAAAAATCCAAACCCCAACACAACTTACTTTTTGTTCGACTGCCAAAAAAAACTTAGCACTGCCTAGACTGCTTGATTAAGCAGCATATTTCAGCCATCAAATAAACCATAATAATTTTACAGTTTTTGCTGGAACTTTTACCGATAAACTAAGACCAACAAATATGTTCTCTTACGTGTGGACAGAAATTGACTCTCGAAAAGATTCTAATACAATAGCCTCAGCTTTGCAACCTGCTTTAAAAATTTTGATTTTTATGTCAACATAGAAACAGTACGTTTGTTCGCTGATGGTTGCGGCAGACAAAACAAAAATTCGAATATGATGTTTTAAGTACCTAGAATTTGGCTTTCTCTTTTGTATTTTGTGTTACAAATATAGAAACAAATGTGAAGTTTCGTATTACCGTGACAATTAACTTAAATTATCGCCATTCAAAATCGTCCTACAATAGGGTTGATTTATGGAATGCTCTTGCCCCACGAGCTGTTGCTCTTGCCCCAACGGTTAGACGTTTCTTGAAATCGTAGGCTTCCACGGCCAGAGCCAGAATTATAGTTTATTAGTCTTCCGGGTTTGGACCGTGTCATTTGTAAGTGACCCAAAAGTGGGTTCATCTCGACGTTTCGCTACAATTGTATGTAGCTTCTTCAGGAGAACAAAGAAAAAAGAAAAAGACATCAAAGGACAGAAAGATGGGTAGTTAGCAACGGTAACTCAGTTACTCAACGCAACCAGAGGCGAATACTAACTACTAATACTTGGTGAAAACCAAATGCCAGCACAGGGATTCACGTCCAACAGCTCAGAACACTAACGCGTCGAGAGGCGGGGAGTGAATCCGACGATTACTCCGCTACCGCTCTATTTATAGTCGCGGTGACCTGTCGTGTCGGGACGTATCGGCACACTTCGTGGCGCGAACGTCAAGAAGCGCGCGCTAGCCAATCATGTGGCTGCATCGTGGTAGCGGTACCGGACGGCGGCTGTAGACTGAGATTCCAGATGGGAGACAAGTAGTATCCTTCCTCTCGATTGATATTATGTGAATTTTTTCGGATCTCTAGAGATTCGCGGATTTTCCTGGAATAAAAGAAGGGGCTCTTAGAAATAATATGGGTTTTTTCGAACAATATGGAATGACCGGTTTCTTGGCAGTGTTCTGCAACTGCAGAATGGGAGAAAAGACCTGATCGAATGCATCTTTGATGCTCTTGAATCCGAGTTTTGACGGAACGACCAGTTTTGCCAATATACACATGTCCACATGAACAAGGAATAGAATAGACACCACAGGAAGATAGGGGCGATAATGGGTCCTTAGGAGACGGTAGATATTGTGAGATTTTCTTGGGTGGTCGAAAAGTAGTCCTGATACCTTCTTTGCGAAGAATTTTGCCAATCCTATCAGTGACGCTTCGAATATACGGAAGAAAAGCCACAGGAGTATTACCCGAAGATTCTGAATTTGTCGTCCTAGGGTGTACAGGTGGATGTAGATGTCGGTGTGTAATATTTTGAATTGTGGACTTGGAGTAACCGTTGGCGACAAGGGTTTTTTGCAGATGGCCAAGTTCTTCTCTAAAGTTGTCGGGTTCAGAAATCGAAATGGCCCGATGGATGAGACAGTTGATCACAGAATTCTTTTGGGCAGGATGGTGGTGTGATGAAGCATGTAGGTAACGATTCGTGTGAGTCTTTTTTCTATAAACAGAGTGACCCAATCGGCCATTGGGTTTGGAGGTGACTAACACATCGAGAAAGGGAAGGGACCGATTATTTTCTACTTCCATTGTGAATTTTATACTCGGATGTTGTGAGTTAAGATGATCTAGGAAGGGAGAAAGGGTATGATTAGATATAGACGTTTCTTTTTTTACAGTTTCACGTCTCAAGACACACACACACACTTCATCGCAAGGCAGCAAACGAAACGCATCCAGTTTTATCGGTCCTCGTCCTATATAGCCTCGGCATTCTCGTACGTCGTGACCCACCACGACCAACTCTACAGCCTGTTATGAAGATATTAATAGAATCAAAGGGTAAGTCTAAATATTGCATGTTACATTGCATTGTATACAAAACAGTGGCAATGTTGGCTTATTGGCTTTTAGAAGAATCGTATTTTCGGCCTTATAGAAAAATACATTGAAAATGCCTGTTATCGTAGAAATTAGTGACTACGACGATTTAATCAGAAAGCATTCCACTGTACGAACAATCGGTATGGATTGGAATGTGTTTGATTGGAGCACACAAACAAAAAGTGTTTCAGCTGCCCAGTTCACAGCACTTTAAATTAAATAAGGCAAAGCGGTTATTTTTTACAAAAAAGGCAACAATATTCTAGTCCAAGGTGAACCCAATTACCGAAATAACGTTGGAAAAGATAAAAGCGTTTGTAAGAAAATTTTTTCTCTTTCTTCAATGACTTTTAAAAAATCATCACTGGGAAAAGAATAAAAGGGGAATAAAGAGACTATTAATAGTCTCCTTTTTAAACAATGTAGAGAAAATTCTAGAAGCCTTTCTGAACTAATTTTTTACAAAGAATGAAATTTTTACAAAACCTGAAGACAGATTCTACTTCACCAGAAGAAACCGTTGATGGTTTGAAAAATTGCCAAAATGCAGAAAATGGCTGTCTTCTTTCGAGCATAACTGATTGAGACTGCTTTTGACGTTTTTTTTCATTTAAACATTTTCTTTATATGACTAAAAATTTTAAATTATGATTTTCATGAATTTCCCAAAAAATCTTGCCCTTCGAACAAGAAGCAAGTTTTGCAAATAATGGCCTCAAATATTTTCTGGTCCAATATTTTCATCATTCCTACTATGCCATATTCCAATTAAACAAATATTTCTGTGTGAGTTGCCTGACAAGAAAACCTATTGAAATCCAACTTAGGAGTGATCCAAAATATAGCAACAAATAGAAAATGAGGCTTTACGGCATGTTGTACTACAAATTAATATACTTACCACTGGTGTGTAAACATTCAGAACCAAGCAATCTTCAGCGGTATTGGTGTCGGAACTCGAATATTTATCTAAGATGAATACTTGCGGACACATTTTTAAGTTGGTTGTAACATTCAAGACTCCGTCCCATGGACCATGAGGTTTGGGAGGCTGAAAACAACAATATGTATTTTTATTTATCAAGTTATAATAATTTATATTTATATATAATATCATAAGTGATGAAAGTTTGTTGCCTGGCAATTTTCGTGAAATAAATTTTGACAGTTAAATCACGATACGTCAGTCGAGTGATTTTGTCAAAATATCATAAGCGAAAATTGCCAAAAGGCAACAAACTTAAATAAACCAAAAGAAAATTTCCTGGTAAATAATTTTCTTTGAGGGTATACAAGGCAACTATCGAACACGGTGATTAATTTAATCTTGCCCAAGTACTTTCAATCAATAGATCATCTTCAGGGGCATTTCGTCAATTGTGGACTATCCGACATAGTAGAATGTCATAAATTTAAAACTGGACATAACAATACAAAATACACTACACTAAGACAAACAAACACTTTAAAATTTATATGGCGAAGCTACATATTGTGAAGAAGCCGGAGACAGAATCTGTCATTCTTTATTTTAATCTTTAAGATCTGATTTAAGATATCTAATTTTAGGCCACCTGCAAAAAATGTCAATGTTTTTGTCTTTATTATTAATACATATCTTCTGTTCATTTCCTGAATAATATTGTACATCTTACCCGGCTGAAACATGCCCTGAACATTCAAAATCTCAGTTCTAGTGCGAAACAGTCTTATATTTACGTCTTTGTTCTTCTTCTTTCCTACCACTTTTCGACACATCATCATAAGTGTGGATGAAGTAAATCCACCGCTCGAATAATAAACAGCATGCTCTCCGACCGAACGATTTAAGTAGTCATGGGAACCGACATCAGCACCCCAAGAAAATTGAAGAATGAACTGCCTCAGGAGTCTGTCTTAGCTTCTCTTCTCTTTAGCCTATGCATCGCCGATGTACCAGCAACTAGATCAAGGAAGTTTGGTCACGTCGATGACTGGGTCCTTGCAACAAGGTGTAAGTCATTTGAAGAAACAGAAGAAATCCTCATGGCGGACTTACACATAGTGGGAAAGTATTTTCGTAAATAGAAGCTCCAACCAAACACTACCAAGACAGATGTTTCAAGTTTCTACCTAAATAACAAGCCAAACTGAGAAACAGAACTGGAGAAGAAACAACGAACAGAGATGAAATATTAAGAATAGTCGAAGAGTTCTACAAAGAGTTATATAGATCAAGAAAAAAAGATAACAATACGGAACCTCCAATTATACTAAAAACTGGGGTATTAAACCAAGGATTAGATTTATTGCCCGATATAACAAAATCAGAAATCAAAGAAGCCCTGAAGAAAACGAAAAATAATCGAACCCCGGGTGAAGATGGAATAGTATCAGAAGCACTAAAAATTGGAGGGGATGTATTACTTGAAAAAATTAAAAACTTTTCAATATCTGTCTTCACAACGCCAATATTATATAAGTTTTTTACGCGAATACTAGTTAAGAGAATGGAAAGAAAATTAGAGACTTATCAACCAATGGAACAGGCGGGATTCCGAAAAAGTTACGGAACAAATGACCGTCTACAAAGTATAAGAACCCTTATAGAGAAAGCAGTGGAATACAATAAACCTCTAGTTCTAATATTTATCGATTTTAACAAAGCCTTTGACATAGCTGAGCTAAGCAAAATATTACAGGTAATTAAAGTACTTAAAGAATGCAGGCTAGATTATAGATATACAAAATTATTATACAAAATATACCTGCAGGCAACAACCACTCTCAGATTACATATTAACAGTAATCGCATAAAAATAGAACGGGGGGTTAGACAAGGAGACCCAATGTCACCTAAACTTTTTAATACGGTGCTAGAACATGCTTTTAAGAATTTGGATTGGATGACAAAGGGAATAAAAATAGATGGAGAATATCTAAACAACTTATGTCTCGCCGATGATATACTTATAATAGCTGAAGATCTAGGTATGGCAAGTGAGATGGTATAGGAACTCGTTGTGGCTACAGAAAAAGTAGGTTTAAATATAAATATCTCGAAAAAAAAATCATGAAAAATTTGGTATTCAACCAGAACATCAGTATTGGTGGGAAAGAAATAGAACTCGTAGATAGATATAAATACCTGGGACATAAAATTATGATTGGCAGGGATAACCAGACTCATGAACTGAAGAGAAGAATCGGCCTTGGGTGGGGGGATGCATTTGGAAAACTGAGAGAAACTTTTAAAAGTGAGCTGCCCACATGCCTAAAGAGAAAGGTATTTGATCAGTGCGTCCTCCCAGTCTTGACGTACGGAGCAGAAACACTTACCTTAACAAAAGCCGCAGCTACCAAACTGAAAGTCACGCAGAGAAGAATGGAGCGGTCCATGTTAGGAATAACTCTGCGAGACAGAATAACCAACGAAGACATCAGGAGAAGAACCGGACTGACTGACATCATCGAGAAGATAGCCAGATTAAAATGGAAATGGCCAGGACACATAGCCAGAATGACAGATGAGCCATGGATAAAGAGGTTATTGGAATGGAGGCCAAGGAAAGACAAGAGAAGCGTCGGTCGACCACCTACAAGGTGGACTGACGATTTGAGAAGACTCAATAAAAACTGGATAGGAGCGGCGCAAGATAGACGGAGTTGGAAACACGAGGAAGAGGCCTATGTTCAGCAGTGGACTCTTGAGGCTGGATGATGATGATGAACAAGCCTTCAGGAAGTACACTCAATATCCAATTCGACTCACTCAAAACACCACACTCGCCTACAATAAAACACCAAAGTACCTTGGAGTGACTCGTGACAGAACCCTATCTTTCAGAGAAAATCTGTCAGAAACTTTGAAAAAACTTAAATCCAGGAACAACATCATCCAGAAGCTGCGCGAGACATTATGGGCAGCATAGGCTTCCACCTTGCGATTATCTGCCCTGGGCCTTGTCTTCTCAACTGCGGAATATTGCTTTTTAGTTTGGCATAACAGCCTACATATACACAAATTAGATTTTATTGCTGGCGTTATCAAATCCACTTCTACGCAATGGCTCCTAGTATTGAGCCACATCCCAAGGATAATGATGAACTTTGCAAACAAATTACAGCAGTACGTCATTGAATTCCTCTAAAGTTTTTTAAACGTTTAGAGAGGAGTGAGAAATAGTGGCGGCTGGTGAGGGGGGTGCTACGGGGTACCGCTCTTAATAGAAAAATGATGGACCAACAATTAATTGAATTTCATATTACATACGGTAATAAGAAATAAATTACAAAATCTATTACCCAGGATTCTAATAATATATTAGATTTGCAAACTAGATTTTTAAAAAATACTCTTCATGTATTTATGTATGTTTCGTGTTTATATGTATATATAGTGTTATTTATTTTGCACAGTTTGCCATTGGCTGTAAAAAATAATAAATCCTTACCCTAAATCTGTTGCTTCCTATAGGAGGTTCTGCATAGGGAACATCTTGAAAAGCATAGAAATCGTTTCCTTCGGAACTTTGAAGAATGTGTCCACGGATTTTGCCTAAATTGTCCAATTCAACTATTAAGTCATCTTCCTTAAACTGTGATCCCGTCACAGGGGATGAAAATACCTATAAATTATATAAATTAAATATTTTTCTTAAGACATATTCGTATATCGGACGATTTGAAAATATGGTTCAACTTGCCGAAAGCTGCTCAAGTCAGTCATATATGACGGAGAAGCTTAACGATTTTTTTATGAAACTTAGTGCATGACAAAGACCGACTAATATTATCTTCTAATTTTTCAAGGTCTACAGATCGGTGAGGAATTATACTTCGGGAATAACTAAAAGTAATTTTAAACTTTAACGGTTAATAGAAGCGGATGATATAGTCAAACAGACTACCCTGGCTTGTACCGGGTGGTCCAATAAGCCCATCTCTCGGCTATATATCAGAAACCATTAATGTTAAAACTTTAGGAGAAAAAATTCCTTAGTAAAAGTGGCCACGAGAAATCGCTGGAAATAACTTTCGAGTTTCTGGGTTAACCTCTAGGGGGCGTAACCTGTGAAGAAAAATTACTTTTTACAAAAAAAGTACTTTTTTATTTTTTAAAATAAAGGGTGAGAAGAGTGGGCAAGTATTTATGGATAAATACTTATAACTTTTAACTATACCTACGTGTAGTATTGACTCACCCTTTATTATAACTTAAAATTAAATATGTGAAAGATCATACAAATATCTCAATCACTAAAACTTAATGTCCAATTAAATGTTCAAATTGTTTTCCATTGTTGTTTACACAAAGATGTAATCTTGCGCGTATACATAACAGCTGCTTCAATCTCAGGTGTTGATATACTATTTATTACATTTATAATGCGCTCTTTTATGTCGTCTCGCGTGGTTGGTCGAGTTTGGTACATTAAGTCCTTCAATCTTCCCCATAGATAAAAGTCCAGACATGTTAAGTCTGCAAATCTAGCTGGCCTTGAAAATATACTTCTCCTTCCAATCCATTTATTTGGATTACTTGCATACAAATAATCTCGAACTCGTCTGGAAAAAAGCGCAGGACACCCGTCATGTTGTAATATCACATCTCTTCTGGTTTGTAAGGAAATATCTTCCAATAAAACAGGAACTGATTTTCCAGAAAATCCAAATATGTTTTGCCATTTAAAGTTCCATCAAATAACGATCCTACGATCTTTCCATCAACTACCACACCAAAAATTAAGACTCCATTTACCTCATGAACCTGCACCTCATGTATCCAATGCGGATTTTCTTCAGCCCAATAATGCATATTATGTAGATTAACACCACCCGCACTATTAAACGTAGCCTCGTCTGTCCACAAAATCTTTGACATGATATGCGGTTGTTCTTCTAGCAGACCTAACATCCAATTGCAATAATGCAGCCTTGCATCAAAATCCCTCTCATGTAAAGCTAGGTGGAGAACTACATACCAAGGATGCAGTCTAAAAAACAGAACAATAAATATTGGTGAAAAAGAAACCACTATATTTACTAAAACTCAAAAAATCTTAAAAAATTCACAATGGTTTCACAAGATAAATCGTGCATCAGTATTTTTAAGAAACGGATAAAAGGATAAAAGCGTCGTTTGCCGTTTTTATCGGAATATTAAAATAACAGTTGAATCTAAAATTTACAATATAACTCAACTATACTTTATAATATAAAAAACCAACCTGTGATGTTTTAAAATCCTTAGAACAGTTGCTTTGGGTATGTTTAATTCTATATAGATTTGCTGACTACTTATAATGTGGATTCTGTTGAATTAAAGCAAGAACATTGATTGAATTATCTTCGGTCATACTTCTACTACGTCGTTTAAAATAATAATGATGAAAACTATCAGTTTTCCTTAATCTTCTTGCATTTCTTTCAAATACTTCTTTGAAATAATGTCTCCTGTCAGGATATCTTACAGATTACATACGTGAGGCAATAGCGGCATGTTGGTGACATTTGAAATATAAAAACTCCAATCATATCATTCAATTCTGCATTTGATATACTCATCACGAATTATTAGTACTAATAATTAATTACAAATATTATTAATATTAATATCTATTGCAAAAAGTGCAATCTTCAAATCGAATTATATTATAATATAACACTTCTTAACAATGTTTTGACTGCTGTCAATAAATAACCGATATGAAGTCCCCGTCAAATTCATTGTCGTAGCCTACTTAGTTTCAAAAAAACTATTTTTAATCATATGAAATAACAATGGTCAAAATAGGTATCAACATTAAAATTATTCAAATCATGAATGTGTTGCTTGTGTGAGTCCATTTCAAATAGGTAAAGAAATAATAAATAAGACTTACTCACAATCAATTTAATTTAACTATCAGACGACCGGTTTCGCTTTCTACAATATGCAAAGCATCTTCAGGTCTCGATACAAAGTTAAACAAATGATGCCGGTACTCTATTAATAGATGGATGGTAGAACATGTTTGAAACTACTTTATATTGTTGAATGGAGAACTCAATACTATTATTGCAGTTGTTTGACAGTAAACGGGAAGTTCTTGAGGAGATAGATTTGATCCAATGAATTTGATATATGTGTGAGATTGTTAGTTAAATGTAAGTGGTGTAATATACTATTGTGTTATTAAAAGTTATTTATACCTATTCCAGAGATATATTTTTGAAATGTGTGTTATTTATTGAGTAATTGTTTTATGAAGGTGACATTTTATGACAATGAATAAGTGTAGATGTAAGAAATTTGTGGGTGTGCAATTATTTTCAAACTTGCAGTTATTAAATCACCACTAAAATCTAATAGATACAACATTAAAAAACTCATTGTGCCCAAGACTATGATGTAGTGCTTTAAAGTCCTTCCCTTTTTAAATTCAATGTTTGTTTCGTCCCTTCTAAGTGTTTTCTGTTTTAGTGTGTTTAAATTATCCTTAAGTGTTTGTATTTTACCATTTTATTCACTTGACTATTCCAATAATTAACCCATTGCCAATAGAACTTTATCAAAGTAATTTGATAACTACAAGTTTGAAAATAATTGCACACCCACACAATTTTTACATCTACACTTATTCATTGTCATAAAATGTCACCTTCATAAAACAATTACTCAATAAATAACACACATTTCAAAAATATATCTCTGAAATAAGTATAAATAACTTTTAATAACACAATAGTATATTACACCACTTACATTTAACAAACAATCTCACACATATCTCAAATTCATTGGATCAAATCTATCTCCTCAAGAACTTCCCGTTTACTGTCAAACAACTGCAATAATAGTATTGAGTTCTCCATTCAACAATATAAAGTAGTTTCAAACATGTTCTACCATCCACTTATTAATAGAGTACCGGCATCATTTGTTTAACTTTGTATCGAGACCTGAAGATGCTTTGCATATTGTAGAAAGCGAAACCGGTCGTCTGATAGTTAAACTAAATTGATTGTGAGTAAGTCTTATTTATTATTTTTTTACCTATTAAAAATTATTCTGCTGTAAACAAATTTGAAAGTACCTACTGACTTATTTTTTAATTTAATTTATAATACAGGGTGAGTCAATACGATACTTACTTATGTTTATGAGTTTTTATTCATATCTCGAGTTCGACAAAAGCTATTAACATGCGGTTTGCGCCATGTTGTTACGAATTTAATCCAGTTCTATTATAATTTACAATAAATAGGTGTTTCCATTAAACATTTTGAAGAAAAACAAATTTTAATTTTTTCTATTCGAAAGTACCCTCTACCAATGATAATTAAAACTAAATGCAATTATTTGATAGTAGATATCAATTAAATTATCCAGACCCTTTCTAATGACACTAATTTTGTTAAAATCGGTTTATTCAAACTAAAGTTATAGGTATTTATCCACAAATACTTTCCCACTCTCCCCCACCCTTTATTTAAAAAAATAAAAAAAGTACTTGAACAACTTTGTGCAGAATTAAGGCCTCTTTATAGTTTATTTGTTTAACACTTGGTATAATTAGGTACATTTCCCAAAAAAACTGGTTTTCAAAGTTTTCTTCACAGGTTACGCCCCTAGCGGTTAACCCAGAAACTTGAAAGTTATTTCCAGCGATTTCTCTTGGGCACTTTTACTAAGGAATTTTTTATCCTAAAGTTATAACATGAATATTTTCTGATATATAGCCGAAATATTGGCTTTTTGGACCACCCGGTACACGTCGTGGAAATAAGTCTCGGATCAAATAGGAACGTTTTGTAAAAAATAAAAAGGTCAAAAAGTAGAGGTAAACTTGGAAAGCAATAAATTTACGGCACCGAGAAGGATTTGATAGCAAAGCAGAATATGTATATATAGATACGTAGTAATGAGAAGGAAGAGCAGATTGAGGGCGAATTGCCAAACCAACCACATGCTGTAACGTCCAAAGCTTATATGGATCTTTGTTATTTAACATTTTTTGGAATATATTTGATACTGCAAGATGTTTCATGGATATTCTTAACTAGTAGTCTAAAAATAAAACTAAACTCACCCCTTTATTGGCAACGTACCACAACGAACAAAAAAGTACCAATCTTAAATCCATAACTCTTCTTTTTGGCAAATGTACTGTTGTGAGTATATTTTATATAGAATTTTGATTACTATGGAAATATTTTTAAAAGCTTTTTACCCAATCAAACAATTAAATATTTTATAAAATAAATATCAATAAGTAAATATTTTCATTAAAGATAAGATAATTTGCACCTAATGTGCTAGATTTTTGAGATTCTTTTCATTTAGATTCAATTTGAAGTTTTTATTATATAATATACATTTTTACAAGAGAGAGACAATTCATGCATACAATCAACCAAGATAATAACTGATGCATATATAATTTTTTAATCTATTCTTAATTTGACTTTAGTTATAACCTAATTGGTCTCAAAAACGTGGCTGAACAGTTGTCTATGATTTTGTTTCAAATACCTAGTAAACAATGTCTTAAAATTGCGTAGTTATTCTTTTTTCTAATTCTGTTGATTATAATTTTAGTACCTGGTATACAAATGAAGCTCTTATCATCCAGCTCCATTATTAAATATTTAATTGGATAATAAATTTCTTAAGAAAAAAGGAATTCTCTAGCTTGTCAAAATGGGTTACGAAGGTGCATGTTTAATTTGGACAAATATGTTTTAATTATAGTTTATTCGTCTTCCGGATTTGGACCGTGTCATTTGTGAGTGACCAAAAGTGGGTTCATCTCGACGTTTCGCTACAATTGTATTTAGCTTCTTCAGGAGAACAAAGAAAAAGAAAAAAGAAAAAGAAGACAGGAAGATGGGTAGTTAGCAACGGTAACTCAGTTACTCAACGCAACCAGAGGCGAATACTAACTACCAAGATGGGCATTTGCTCACAGTAACTCAACTACTCAACGCAGCCAGAGGTGAAAACCAAATGCCAGGACAGGGATTCACGTCCAACAGCTCAGAACACTAACGCGTCGAGAGGCGGGGAGTGAATCCACTCCCCTCGACGCGTTAGTGTTCTGAGCTGTTGGACGTGAATCCCTGTCCTGGCATTTGGTTTTCACCTCTGGCTGCGTTGAGTAGTTGAGTTACTGTGACCAAATGCCCATCTTGGTAGTTAGTATTCGCCTCTGGTTGCGTTGAGTAACTGAGTTACCGTTGCTAACTACCCATCTTCCTGTCTTCTTTTTCTTTTTTCTTTTTCTTTGTTCTCCTGAAGAAGCTACATACAATTGTAGCGAAACGTCGAGATGAACCCACTTTTGGGTCACTCACAAATGACACGGTCCAAACCCGGAAGACGAATAAACTATAATTCTGACTCTGGCCGTGGAAGCCTACGATTTTAAATATGTTTTAATAATTTTTTTCTGTTATTTTATCCTATTGATTTTTACAATTAGTTGCAATTGTTTAAATTCAAATATGGTTGTGTAAATTAATTGATACATTTATTCTCCCTGTATCTCTACGATTCCTATAGCACAACTCGAAAGTGAACCAATAACCAGTGCACACATATTGAATTTGTTTTGTTCGTTGTTCCGTAAAATAGTGCAAGGAAGTTACGGGTAACTTCACCCCTAGTTTGACCTTAACCTATACATTGTTTTGATTGTTTATTACAACCATTTAAAATTTGATGATTATTTGCACCTATGAGTTAACGTTCATTTATCTCTCCAGCCTATTAAAGGAGATATAGTTCATGTTAATTTAATTATTATTAATTATCTCGTAATAGTTTATTGTTTGTTTAATTCGCCACAGAAATATTACTATATTTTACCGGATAAAAGTTTTTTGGTTTTCATTAGGAAATCAATCACAAGGACATATTTGATTTAATATTTTATTTTCTTTGCTGGAATAATTATATTATACATTTCAGTACGATATTAGTGGTTCTCTTAGGTATATATCGAGAATTGATTCAATTTCATAATATCGTCGAGGGTTTTCTTGAACTTCAAATGTGGAATCGATATTCAAATACTTCACAGAGCCAGGTGTAACTTCTGGCCAAATGACATTTTGTAGGTCTTCATCCTCTGTAGGGGTAGGATTTCTGAAAAAGAGAGAAGTATGATAAAAATTATTCAATACAGCGGGTAATACAACACGAAAAGGGTAATAAATACACAAAAAACAATCTTGTCGATCACTTGTTTTTAACGTGCAAATAAGAAAAAGGGACTACTAAATATAAAAAGATTTATTAATATATAGTGGTAAGTACAAAATTGATAAACTAACTAATTTAGGAGTTAGACTTCTAATGCACAATGGATTTGAACAGTACAGAGTTGCCATAATTTCATGTGACGCTGCCAAGAAAATGGAAGAATGAGGAGGAAGTATTTTGTAAATAATTACAATATGAGCTGGACTACATTACACTGAATAAACAATATTTATCATTACTCATATTACCATACATAGGCTTACCATACGTCCCGATTTAACCGGGATTGTCCTGGTTTAACAAAACTGTCGTAATTTTAAATTTTTGTTAAGTGATTTCACAAGAATGATTTTTTTCCTCCTGGATTCATATTTACTGATAATTAATAAGATTCTTCATGTTCGTATTATATAAACAATTCTTATAATAATCAAAAGACTGATATGTTTTTTGTACACACTTATGACAAGTCAAAAGAAAAGGCAAAAAAGTATTTTTGAAGTGTATATATTTTAATAATTCCTAGCTGAGCGCTTTCGACTTTACAAAGCCATCATCGGAGCTATGGTCAATTTATAAATACCACTATAATGCACAGATCTCATTTCCTTATTTGTTGAAATTTTTGATTTTTTAATTACTTAGTTGTTAAAAATTCTTAAAAAACATACAAAAAACCGACACTGGACTTCACAGACACATTAAAAAATTTTTGTCACGGTACGGGTGTAAGAACCCGACCATTGTTTGCTATGAGGAGGTAGACAGAATAGCTATATTCTGTCTACCTCCTACAAAACACCAATCGAAATTGAAGCACTAGTTGTCAAAATATATAAACATTTTTATATCTACACAGTTCGAGTAACTCAGTTGAAGGAATTCTGTGAATGTGTAGATGTGAAATATAAAAACCTAATCCAACAGGGAAGCACCAGATTTCTTTCGCTTTTGCCGTCAATTGAGATGATTCTAAATATATTCGAAGGACTAAAAGCATATTCTCCTTCCCAATAATACAACTTTTATTTAAAACTTTTTTTTTGTATTCCCGAAATTAAGGAAAATAAGTGGGGGTAAAAATATAATGAAAAACCTGGTACATTCGCGGGAAATTTAAATAAATTTTCTATAACACCAAAATCTTGTCAAATATTTTAAAATTACTGCATTAAAAAGCGATATTTTTTGTTTAGCACGTTATAATAAAAAACTAACACCTGGTTTAACGTACCCAAAAATATAAAAAAACAAACTACTTATGAATATTTTAAGTAATATTTTAAGTACCTACCACACAACTTGTAAATAATGAAATATCTAAAATAAAAGAAGCGTTTTTTTTTTTCGAAAATCAATGTTTGGTGATTTAAAAAAGTTTGACGCATAGGGCCAATTTGTATCTTACCAGTCAAAATACAATATAGAAATCATGTTCTGGTTCATAATACATTCCAGTCGCAAAAATTTTGTTATTAGGTTACATTTGTAGATAAAACTTACTGATATTTAATGAAATTAGTCCACAATTTAAGAATAGGTCTACGAAGTGTTTCGTTGTATGCGGAGGTACTACCTACAGGTAAATTCCACAGGTAATACAAATCGGATGCATGTCCAGTACCTAAAATATTATCAAGTTAAAAGTGAATTTAAACATATCTGCTAAGAAATAATCACGAAATATTAAATAATCGATTAAGTTTGACTTTATTATCTGACAAAGCTTAAGAAATTTAATTGTAAAATATGAACAACTTATTAATATGTACTACAATGTGGCTAAAGTGGACTTAACAAACTAATGAATCCACAAGTCGTGATGAAGACTTCAGAGAAGCAGTCGAAAGCTCGACGTATCTGTGTCTGATTATGACTATTTTATAACAAGAAAAGAGATTATACGTTAATACAATAACTGCAAGATAAGAGTACGTTCAACTAAATTATTTGAAAAATTGAAAAAAGTTTATTGATCTGATAGTACAAACTTAAATAAATAATTTAGTAATAATTTTAATTCTCAAAAATGTATTAAAAATTCTTTTTTGGCAAAAAAATTAAAAGTTAAGCAGTAAATTATACCTGGAAAACGGTTGTTTTTGTTATACCAAGATAGTTGATACATAAACACAGGAACATATCGAGATGCACCTTCAGCTTGACGTATTATTGATCGGCCAAAAACTTCATCGCTAGAATACTAAAAGCAGAAACTTTGCTGATTATAATCGTCAAATATAAATCCATAAAACAAATAACGCGCCAAAATCATTAAAAAATGTTTGCCGGACCTAAAAAATTATTTCAAACATTTTAAATACATCTTATTTTGTACTAAATTAAAAATAGTATAATTCTAACTGGAGATAATTTATTAAAATTTCCCCTGTGTCAGTTTTAGTCTTGTATCAGTTTTTGTTAGTTCTTTTATCAGGCACGGTTCCAATAACACGGAAATAATTCTACCAGAACTCAGTCCTTTTGATATCGTAGGTATCTCGAATGAGTGAGTTTTCCTCTTAGAGGAAGTTACATTTAATATTGTAAGGATAGTTTTTAAGCAAGCCCTGTATCGTAAAAAATAATATAATAGTATAGTTATTTTGGACTTTCTATAAATGCTGTTTATTAACTCTGTAATAGAATAAATGGAATGACTACACAGAAAATGTTTACATAACTGTGACCTACATAATAGATTAAAAAACCAAAAAGTGCGCGGTTAACAAGGTCAATTAGTACAGCTTATGTACATTATCTTCTTCTTTTTGGCTAGATTTACAAATCGGGGTAAGTCTTCACCGCATTCACCATAGACCTCTATTTTCTACGATTTTGCGCTTTCAATTTATCATTATTTTACAACGATCCCGATAT